TTTTAAATCTAAATATTAATATTTAATAAAATAATTTTTGAAATTTTAAATTAAGATTTAATTAAATAAAATGACTAAATTGAAGGTTGAGATTCTAATTATTTTTTAAAATAAGGACTGATACACACTATTTTCATAGTAAATATAGTTAATAAATAAAATAAATAAATAAATACATAATTAATATACTATTTGTTAAATTAAGATGAAGAAAAGCAACCAAGCATAAATCGCGTTAGAAACATGATTAATAATGTCTAGTAAGTAGAAACATAACACGTGTTTCAGTTCCATTTCTTTTTTTGCCGTAAAGCATGCTCCGTATAAATATAGACTGCATCGTACGAATCAAATAAAAGCCAAACTATAATAATAGGATGTAGAAAATTAAAATCTCACCATATGAAAAATGTTAAGATATTTAATTATAATTATAAAATAAATAAATTATAATATAAATTTCATTAAAATTTCAATAGGTAATTGAGATTGAAGGTTCTCACATTTTTAATATTAAAATATTTTAATTTTTACTTCTTACAATCAATAATACCCACAATTTAATTCAATGTTGTATTGTGTAGGGGCCTCAACCCTTTTTCACCGCACTAGATGTGGCAAATTCAATAATATTTAATTGCTCTATCAAAATTTAGTGGATAGTTAATCACTTAAAATATATTTATTTATTTATGTGGCAAGTGCTCCCTCCATGTGCCAGCCAATATAATTTTCCAATTTTCACTTCTCACCAAGTTTTTGGCCAATGCATACTTATACTTATTTTCATATTCAAAGAGTTAAAGTGTTAAATGCATTTTTGCTATCATATACCAATTCAATTTTCCATTCACTCGAACCCCCGTGTGGCCAATATATAAGTATTTCACTCACATAATTGGGGTTTAATACTCATCGTCCCTTATGCTCCTTCTTCTTCCCTCAATTCCCGAAGTTCAAACAAATAACTTTTTTCCATTCACTCACAATGATTTTATTCACAATGGAGTCCTAAGGTATGAATCAGAAATAGATCTTCTTATTGATTAATAATATGTAACACAGCAATACAATACATAATTATACTGAGTTGTAACCTTAAGGAAATAAGAAACATAATATATTATACATAACTTATTATTTTAAGATACAC